TTAGTTAGGCGTAAGCCAAATTTCATGTCAATCCAAGCGATTCTTTAAAATTATGAGGTTTTGCAATATTTTACCGTGAGTGAATGGACTAAATCTGGAAATAAATTCTGTATATTTAGCTTGAAATATTTTAGTTTGTATCAATTATGGAAATTAATTTGTTTGAAAAGTTACAAAAAAGTAACTTACATGAGATTTAATTTATCACTGCTAATTTTATTATTTATTTTATATTTTGTTAATTTTTTGTATTGTGTTGATAAATAAATAATTTTTAGAAAACCTTTACTGTTTTTATTAATCAATTTTTAGCGTTTTTTCTGAAATAAAATCGGAATTTCATAATATAGATTACAAGCACGTTAAAATTATTTGTAAAAATGCTGAGTGCCGTCCTTATATCGTCCTCTATTACACTAGAGAATTGGCGGAGCATAGAACTTAAATTTATTTTTCAATCTTGGCAAATATTACAATGAATGTCGCCACCATACAGTCAGGTAGTACTTAGGCGTGAGGGGCAAAGAGGTGTAAGTGGGCGGAGTTTAACACTGAATTCGTTTTTATCTTAGAGTGAGCTATCTAGGTAGTGGTTTATAATCAATGCTTTAGGCGAAAAAATTCCCTAGTTAAAGTGGCAAAGAGAAATCGCTGGAAATAACTTTCAAGTTTCTGGGTTAACCGTTAGGGGGCGTAACCTGTGAAAAAAACTTTGAAAACCAGTTTTTTGGGAAATATGCCCAATTATACAAAGTGTTAAATAAGTAAACTAGAAAGAGGCCTAAATTCTGCATGAAGTTGTTAATGTATTTTTTTTAGATTTTCAAATAAAGGGTGGGGGAGAGTGGGAAGTAGTTGTGGATAAATACCTATAACTTTGGTTTGGATCAACCGATTTTAACGACATTAGTGTCATTAGAAAGAGTGTGGATAAATTAATTTACATCTACTGTAAAATAATTGCATTTAGTTTTAATTGTCATAGGTAGAGGGTTATTTTGAATAGAAAAATTAAAACTTGTTTTTATTTAAAATGTTTAATGGAAACACCTATTTATTGTAAATTATAATGGAACTGGATTGAATTCGTAACAAAATGGCGTGAACCGCATGTTAATAGCTTTTGTCGAACTCAAGATATGATTAAAAACGCATAAACATAAGTAAGTATAGTATTGACTCAACCTGTATTATAAATTAAATTAAACAATAAGTCAGAAGGTACTTTCAAATTTTTTTATAGCAAAAGCTTAATGTTGATACCTATTTTGACCATTGTTATTTCATATGATTAAAAATAGTTTTTTCGAAACTAAGCATTAATATATTAATATTGGTAATATATTAGTAATTAATTATCAGTACTAATAATTCGTGATGAGAATATCAAATGCAGAATTGTATGATATGATTGGAGTTTATTTCGAATGTCACCAAAATGCCACTATTGCCTCACGTATATATTTTGTAAGATATTCTGACAGGACACATTAGGGCAAAGAAGTATTTGAAAGAAAGGCAAGAAGATTAAGAGAAACTGGTAGTTTTCATCGTCCTTGTTTTAAACGACGTAGTAGAGGTATGACCGAAGATAATTAAATCAATGTTCATGCTTTAATTCAACAGAATCCTCATACAAGTAGTCGACAAATCTCTATAGAGTTAAACATACCCAAAACTACTGTTCTAAGGATTTTAAAACATTAAAGGTTGATTTTTCATATTATAAGTGAACGTTTAGTTCAGAAACTTGGAATTCCCTTTAAACTTTAGATTCAACTATTATTTTAATATTCCGATAAAAACGGCAACACGGCGCTTTTATCCTTTTATCCATTTCTTAAAAATACTTGTGCATGATTTATCTTATGAAACAATTGTGGATTTTTCAAGATTGTTTGAGTTTTAGTAAATATAGTGGTTTCTTTTTCACCAATATTTGTTGTTCTGTTTTTTTAGACTGCATCCTTATCATGTAGTTCTCCACCAAGCTTTACATGAGAGAGATTTTGATGCAAGGCTGGATTACTGCAATTGGATGTTAGGTCTGTTAGAAGAATAACCTCATACCATGTCAAAGATTTTGTGGACAGAGGAGGCTACGTTTAATAGTGCGGGTGGTGTTAATCTACATAATATGCATTATTGGGCTGAAGAAAATCCGCACTGGATACATGAGGTGCAGGTTCAAGGTAGATGAAGTCTTATTGTTTAGTGTGGTATAGTTGATGGAAAGATCGTAGGTCCATATTTCTTTGATAGAACTTTAAATGGCGAAACATATTTGGAATTTTTTGAAAAACAGTTGCCTGTTTTATTGGAAGTTATTTCCTTACAAACAAGAAGAGATATGATATTACAATATGACGGGTGTCCTGCGCACTTTTTCAGAGGAGTTCTAGATTATTTATATGTAAGTTATCCAAATAAATGGATTGGAAGGGAAAGTTTATTTTTATGGCCAGCTAGATCTCCAGACTTAACATGTCTGGACTTTTATCTGTGGAGAAGATTGAAGGACTTGGTGTACCAAACTCGACCAACCACGTGAGACGACATGAAACAGTACATTATAAACGCGATAAATAGTATATCAACAGCTGATATTGAAGCAGCTGTGATGTCTACGCGCGAAAGATTACATCTTTGTGTGGACAACGATGGAAAATAATTTGAGCATTTAATTGAACATTAAATTTTAATGATCAAGATATTTGTATAATATTTCACATATATTTTTTTTAAGTTATAATAAAGGGTGAGTCAATACTATACTTACTTATGTTTATACATTTTTATTTTTATATCTAGTTATTCAAAAGCTATCAACATGTGGTTTGCGCCATTTTGTTATGAACTTAATCCAGTTCCATTATAATATACAATAAATATGTGTTTCTATTAAACATTTTGAAGAAAAACAAATTTTAATTTTTCTATTCCAAAGTACGCTCTACCCATGATGATTAAAACTAAATGCAATTGTTTTATAGTAGATGTAAATTAAATCTGAAAAATGATCTGATGTAGACTCAGATCATTTTTTGGTTAGAATTAATGAGAGAAGCAATAATTAAAAAGCATAAACGGAAACAGAAAATGCAACGTAAATTTAACTTTGAAAATAGGCGTAAATTTGAGGTAGCGCAGGATTATCAAAAAGATATACAAGAAACCTACGCCAAACAAGATAATCCTACTATGAGTAACATACAACAAAAGTTCTTGAAGATGTCAAGTCATAAAAGCAAAGAGAATTCTAAGGGAGCGGAAACGAAAGTATATGGATGATAACATTAAACGCATTGAAGAAAATTACAAGAAAAATGAAATAAAAATTTTTTTATAAAGAAGTAAAATACAATAAAACTATGTATCAGGGAAGAACGATGAATCTAAAAGATAAGCAAGGAAACCTGATAGTGGATGAAGACCAAATATGTGAAAGGTGGAAAGAATATTTCGAAGAGATGCTAAATGACGAAGTGACTACTGAAGAAAGTGGGTGTGTTCCTAAACTTCAAATAGTAATAGAAGAAATACCAAAGCCAACAAAATAAGAAATTGAAGAAATAATAAAAAAAATGAAAAACCAAAAAGCCCCGGAGAGAGCGGCATTGTGGCAAGGAACATAAAATATGGAAGAGAGGCCTTAATAAACAAACTTGGCGAGCTAATACTGGAAGTATGGGATGCCTAAGAAATGCCTCAAGAATGGAATAAGTCGATTATAATTCCTATACACAAAAAAAAGAGGTAGAATTGAATGCGCAAACTATAGAGGAATATCCTTAAAGTAATTTAGAAAGTACTCGCCATACTAATTAAAAAACGATTATATATATATATATATATATATATATATATATATATATATATAGAGAGAGAGAGAGAGAGAGAGAGAGAGTGTGAGAGAGAAGAATCTAGGAGAATATCAGGGAGGATTTCGGAAAGAAAGATCAACAACCAATCAAATTTTTATGCTAACACAAATCCTGATGAATTGCTGTGAATACAACATTTCAGCACAAGTAGTTAATAGAAACACTAAAAGAGTTAAAAGTGTCAGAAAAAATAATAAGATTGGTACAGATCACATTGAAAGCATGGGAAAGAAAGATACTTCGCAGAATATTTGGTTGAAAAGTAGTAGAGAAAGAATGGAGAAGACGAACTAATGCAGAAGTATCATTTGTATGCTAACCCTACAATAACACAAGTGGTGAAAAAACGTAGACTAGAATGGCTCGGCCACCTAAAAAGAATGCAAGGTAATAGATTAGTCAAGAATATTGCACGAAGAATACCTGAGGGAAAAAAAGAGAGGAAGACCAAGAAAGAAATGGAGAAATGTAGTGATGGAAGATGTCAGAGAAATGGGAATCAGAGATTGGAAGCTGTTACCTAAGAATAGAACACGATGGAAATTATTCATCCAGAAATGGGCCTAAAAGGCCTGTTAACGCTGTATATACATACATACGTAAATTTAATCATCCCCACTCTTTCTAATGGCACTAATTTCGTTAAAATTGGTTGATCCAAACCAAAGTTATAGGTATTTATTCACAAATACTTTCCCACTCTCCCCCGCCCTTTATTTAAAAAAATAAAAAAAAGTACTTGAACAACTTTGTGCGGAATTTAGGCCTCTTTCTAGTTTACTTATTTAACACTTGGTATAATAGGGTATATTTAAAAAAAAAAAACTGTTTTTCAAATTTTTCTTCACAGGTTACGCCCCCTAGCGGTTAACCCAGAAACTTGAAAGTTATTTCCAGCGATTTCTCTTGGCCACTTTTACTAAGGAATTTTTTCTCCTAAAGTTATAACATGGATAGTTTCTGATATATAGCCGAGAAATCGGCTTATTGGATCACCCGGTACAGGTTTAAATAACGGAATAACCCGGAATAAATTTGAATCGCGATATTTATGACCTTCGTATTTCAACTACTAGCATGTACTCCTGACCTTTGCTTTCTAAAATTGTGTTGCTTATTGCGCAAAATTACTATACTACGTGAAGACAGTGAAGCTGTTCTTCTCTATATGTAGTCAAAGCATAACATCCTGTTTCGTGTACGGTCGTACCGGCTTTTCGTTTTTTAGGTTAGTTTTACTTTTTAAAGCATTGTAAGAAAATAGTTTTATTCGTAGTAGGTAGTTCATTAAATAGTAAGAGTGTAAGCTATGTTTCATCCCTGAAATGAGACTTAGTCCTGTGGACTTGCCGTTGTAAAATTCATGAAAATATATGAAGATTTTCTATGCAATTCATCTCCAGAAGGACTGAAGGTAAGATTAAACGTGTGTGTGTGTGTGACAACTATTCTTTTTTATTCGTAATGTAGAAAGTTTTATTCCCCACCTCTTGTACACATTATGCTGTGTAAGATATGGCTTAAAATAAACACTAGAGATCTTTCGTATGGCTGTTTATTTAAGAATACATAACACAAGTGTCTCAATAACTTCTAACCTAAGTGTTGCGGCTGCTACCGCCAGGCGCCTAGGTGACAACTGTCCTGACAGGTAACTGTCATTACCATTACCTTTTAGGACTTCAGCCACCTTTACATATGGCACATATTACATCTCCCCCTTTTTACAAATTTAGTTTTAAAGGTGGTTTAACAACTCTACCTGATTTAGTTCTATAATTATCTGCTTGTTCAGTGACATTATTTTGTATGTCAGTAGAGGTAGGCAACTCTGCCTCTGTTGTCTGTGTTGAGGATGAGGGTTCTTGATCTAAATCTACATCACTTGTATTCGTAAGTATTGTAGTTGGTTGTGACTTAAATCTATTTAGGGATTCTCTAATATCTACTCTATTGCGACGGACAATATTATTATGCTCATCTCTCAAGATATAAGACCTTGGAGCTTCATGCTGTGATACTATTTGGGCTGGTTCCCACCTCTTTTGACATTGATTGTACATAACAACATCTGTCTCAGATTCTAACAACTCTAAATCCTTAACACCTTGGTTATAGTCTCTAACATACACATTTCTCCTTTTACTTAATTTTTCTTTCACATTTATGCATAAAGCTGGTTTTAACATATCTTGATCAATAGGTAATTTGGTTCTACAGTGTCTGCTCATTAAGAGTTGTGAAGGAGTATAACCAATGTGTTTAAGGGGTGAATTCCTATATTGTAATAATGCTGATTCAACATCAGACCTATCATCAATAGACTTTTTAACAATACTCTTAGCAATTGCTACACCTTTCTCAGCAAGCCCATTTGACCGCGGATAATTGGGACTTCTAAACTTAATTTGAAAATTCCATTCTGTAGCAAAGTTTTTAAAATGATAGCTATTAAAAGGAACATTATCACAGCATATATAAGCTGGTGAACCATGTATAGCAAACATTGATTTTAGAACTTTAATGACAGAAAAAACAGATTTGTCTTTTATCGAGTGAAGCTCTATCCAGTTTGAAAAAGAATCATAAGCGACTAGATAACTTGTACCATAACATGTGAAAATGTCAATGCCGATTCTTTCCCATGGATATTCTGGTAAAGGGTATGGACATAATGTTTCCCTTTGTTGCTTCGATCTAAACTTTTCACAAGATTTACATCTTTTTATATAAGTCTCTATATCAGAGCTCATTCCTGGCCAGTAAAAAATTTGCCTGGCTCTAGCTTTTGATTTTTCAATACCAATATGACCCTCATGCACCAGCCTTAACATTTCAGATCTTAAGCTTTTAGGAGCAACAATTTTATTCCCATAAAATAACAAGTTATCACAGACACATAAGTTGTCTCTGAGCTTAAAAAAATTATTAACTATCTGTGGCACATCACGCTTGTGTTCTGGCCATCCCTGTATGCACAGGTTTATAACAGTTTGCAATTGCTCATCTTTTTGGGTTTCTATTCTAAACTCTGATTTTCTAGTATCAGACATAGCAACATTATTTACTACAGCATGAACTGCAAACTGAAATTCAGCATCTGACTTCAGACCTCCTTCTTGTAAAAATGCCCGAGATAATGTATCTGCAATGTACAGATACTTTCCAGGTTTATATACTACATTTAAGTCATAATGCAATAGCCGTAAACGCATTCTTTGCAAACGTGGAGATAATGCACATATATCTTTACGAACTATTGATTCTAGAGGTTTGTGATCACAACTAACAAGCACATTGTGACCATACACAAAATAATGAAATTTTTGAAACGCAAAAACTATTCCTAACATTTCTTTCTCAATCTGAGCATATTTTTGCTCAGTTGTGCTTAAGCTCCTAGATGCAAAGGCTACTGGATGGCCACCTTGCAGCAAACAAGCGCCTAACCCATCTTTACTGGCATCAGTTTCAATTTCTATTTCTTTAGATGGGTCAAAAAATGTTAGCACTGGTGATGCTGTTAGCAAATGTTTTAATTGAAACAAAGATTTATCATGAATACCAGTCCAGTGCCAAGGGACATCTAATTTTGTTAGTTCTCTTAATGGGGCTGTGACTTTTGACATGTTAGGTACAAATTTGCCCAAAAACTTTGCCATCCCCAATAGTCTCATTAGATCAGATTTATTATCAGGTGTTGGCATTTCTAGAATAGGTTTTACATATACTTGATTTAATTCAACACCTTGTTTGGAATAAATCTGACCTAAAAATTTAACACTACTTAACTTGAATTGAATTTTTTCCTTATTGAATCTAAGGTTGTGCTTTAGGGCCCGTTCTAGTACAAGGCGAAGGTTTTGGTCATGCTCTGCTTCATTAGCACCTGTAATAATCAAATCATCAAAATATAGACCAACACCTTCAATGTCGCCAAATATTTCATAGTTTTTTCTTTGAAAGACTTCTGGGGCTGAGCATATTCCAAAAGGTAAACGACAAAATTGATACCTACCGAAGGGAGTGCCAAAAGTACAATAATCTGCACTCTGATCATCAAGTTTAATTTGAAAGTACCCATCTTTCATATCCAGAACTGAAAAATACTCTTTGTTACACAATTTTGCAGCAATTTCATCTGCTGTGGGTATCAAAAAGTATTCTCTTTTAATAGCTTTGTTCAGGTATTTAGGGTCTAAGCACAACCTTAAATCCTTGTTTTTCTTTTCCACAATTACAAGTGGGTTTAACCACTCTGTGGGTTTCTCTACCTTTCTGATAATACACTCATTTTCTAGTTGTTTTAATTTATCTTTTAGTTTCTTATGTAATGCATGAGGAACCCTACGAACTGGTTGAACATGAGGGACTGCACCTTCTGTCAATGAAATGTGATAATCATTAGGGAATTGTCCAAGCCCCTGAAAAACTGTGGGATATGCTTCTACAACTTTAGCCATAGTTTTGAAGTCTACATCTAAACTTTCTACTCGCTTAATGAGATTAAGACTAATACAAGCATCTAACCCCAACAAAGGTACTTGGTTCTGAACATCAACAACAATAAATTTAATATCTGAAGATGCAGCCTCTACCTTGCAATTAATTATAATTTCTCCTACAGGTTTTATTTTAAAATCATCATTACCATAAGATACTATTGTAACATTACTTTTATTTATTTTTTGTATACCAAGATTTTGAATATACTCAAGAGGCAGAACATTTACTTCTGCACCAGTATCTAACTTAAATTCTACTATGCAATTTTTTACCTGAACTTTCTGTTTCCAGACATTCTGAGAACTTCCAGATTTCAATAAGCCTACAGTTTTGACACAATTGATAAACAACTCACTATCATCACTTTCACTACCACTATGTTGGTTTTTTACTTCATGTACTCCCTTCCTGCTCACCGACTCTCTTTTCTCCAGACCGTTGGTGCTCTTACTACACACTCCAGCAAAATGGTTTCTACCCTGGCAACGGGCACAAGTTTTGCCATATGCTGGACACTTTCTTCCTCGATGCTTGAACCCACAATAACTGCAAACTTTTTGTGATGTGCCTCTATTTGACCTCACTGCATCCACTGTTGATTCAGCTGTAAACGCTTTTGCTTGGATTTTACTGCTTTCACTTAGTCTACATGTTGTAATAGCCTTTTGTAATGTCAGCTTGGATTCTCTTAGGAGACTTTCTTGTGTTTGTTTGTCTTTTATTCCAATAACAATTCTGTCTCTAACCATGTCGTCCTGATCTTTATATTCAGTCATTTTCACTGCTTTCTTTAACTCAGTCACGAAACTATCAAAATTTTGCCCCTCTTTTTGGACAATGCTGTTGAACTTAAACCGCTCATAAATTACGTTAGACTTATGGGAGCAATACTCTTCAAACTTATCCAAGACAGGTTGCAACTTTTTATCGTCTCCTTCTACATTAAATGTGAAAGTGTTGAACAATTCCAATCCATCATCTCCCAGTAAACTTAAAAATGTGGCCAGTTTCTTTTTCTCAGGCTTATCTTCTAAATCGGTGGCGTCCCTGTAGAGGTTAAATTTTTGAGAGAACCTCCTCCAGTTTGCCGCCAAATTGCCATCATCTAATACAAGGGGTTCTGGGGGTTTAAATTGATTTTCCATTTTTCTTCTAGACACAACTCACAACTCGAATAAACCCCGGCCCGACCTGACACCATGTAAGATATGGCTTAAAATAAACACTAGAGATCTTTCGTATGGCTGTTTATTTAAGAATACATAACACAAGTGTCTCAATAACTTCTAACCTAAGTGTTGCGGCTGCTACCGCCAGGCGCCTAGGTGACAACTGTCCTGACAGGTAACTGTCATTACCATTACCTTTTAGGACTTCAGCCACCTTTACATATGGCACATATTACATGCTGTTTTAAATATCTGACGGGCTGCGATTGAATGTCCAGTTTGTGATTTATCTCGATCCATTATCATCAATCTTCCTTTTTCTCCTCTGTTAATATATTATTACACATTTTTATTTAATACTAAGTTAGGAATTTTTGCTTTTTTCTATATTTACAAGTGTCTTTCCAGCAATTTGTCAAAGTACCTTTATGTTTTCTAATTTCAATAGTATTCTGGTTCTTAATAGGTCTTTCTGGTGTCGCTCCTGTATTATATGTTATGATAGGTTTTTAGGTTTTTAATTTGAATTAAAAACTAAGATGCAATGTAAATTGTGAATAGTTTGACAAAAAATTACTATCTCTATCTTTTTTAGAGGTTTTTTTAATGGAAAATGCACTGTTTCGAATATTGGAACAAATCAATTTGGCGATATGAGAAAAACAAATCAATATTATAAGCATAACAAGCATAATAGTTCTTCACTATTAACAGCTGTACCACAACATCGCTAAAACGA